ACACACACACACACACACACACACACACACACACACACACACAAAATTTGGTCCCAAACTGAAATATTTGTGAGCATGTGATTTCTCTCTGAGAGAAAGACACAGAGTTGCTTGGAAATCTACACCACACATAGTGAAAAATGTGATGGATTCCTAGTTCTGTTGGAGAAGGAATATATTGAAGTTTAGGTAGCCAATCTATGAATATCTTATGTGACTATCTTTTTGTATTGAAACCACAGTCGTTGTTTGTTCAAAATGATAGAAAACTTAGTGTGCCTATTGTTTTTTTGTACTGTACTTGGAAAAGTACAGTATTTTCTTTCTCTATCAGTTTTGAAGGGTAAACTGTTTACGAACATGCTTTTTATTGTACTTGCAGAAATCTACTTGTGCAGTACCAATCTCATTTCATGTACTGATACATTCAGTCAAGAAGTATTTCCCACTTAGGTATTAGACATTTTTCACTAACAGTATTAGAAAAGATTTATTTTTTGGATCTTGTATCTGCTTACTCTCATAGTATCTTTGTGCTTAAATTTATAAATACACGAAGGTTAAACTCTTCATATTTTCACCAATAAGATGACCAATGACATGGGTACTGCTTGAACTCTGAGAGATATTGTTTTTGTCTACCTAACATTATACTCTGACTTCATCCAAAATGTTTCTCTGAAATATTTTTTCAACATTAAGAGAAAAGTGCTGTCAATCATCTTTAACTTTTCGCTTAATTTTACATTGTGTTTAGTGTCATTTAGTTAACTCAGTCAACCATATTTTTGATTTTAATTCCATGAAATACATCATGGCTGTTCCTGTTATTAGCAGATACTTTCCAAAAGTTAAATCATTGAAACCTGAGATTACCATTCATATTTTTGATTTTGAAATATATTTCATTGATGAATATTGGATTATTTCTGAATTTGTGAATATTACCAATATTATTTCTTTTCATAGTCATTATCCAAAAATTTTGTGTTAACTAGATTTAGTTTTGGTATTATAACATAATTCTTGTGTAGGTTATGTAAATATATCTTGATTTATTTATTCAACTTTTATTTAATTATCTTTCAGTTTTAACATGGGTTGTATTTCTGAAAGAACAGGTTATAAAATTTTCATTACTAGTTTAAAGTGTTTATTTCATTGCTACCTCCTTTTTGCATTGGACCCAGAATTTGTTTTTATAGCAACCTCATAATTGTTGAAGATCTTGCATGTATGTGTGATAGCTCAACTCACTGACTTGTGGCTGTTCGTAGGAGTTTGGATGGTCAAGGTTCTGGCATAAGGTAGCCATGTCTTAGTGCATATGAACCTAAATGGATTTCACATCCATTAGCACCTGTAATAAACATGTTCTAATGTCATAAAGGCAAGTGTATTCACCACAAATGATGTATGAAATGTTAGTTCACTACATATGTGTTTACTGGAACTTTTCCAACACAGGGAGGGGTCATAGCCTGATTGATAGTGACATATAACCTTACATATTTAGCTGAGTTTCTAACCTAATGCAAGTTGAGTTCACTTGGAATTTCAACCTTAACATATTAATAAAGCCACGAGTCTTTCAGATGGCCTGATATCATATTACACTCCTGTCGGGACTACTGAGAACTGCCAAACAGACTGAAAAACTTCTGTTTTATTGGCATGGATGTGAGAACTACCCAAAAGACTGGAAGAGCGTTTTATGTGGTATGGATGTGGGAACTGTGACAGACTGAGACTTTTTTGTGTGTCATGGATGCATTGCAAGTGCATAAGCAACATTGGGTGCTGTATCTCTCAAATATCTGCTTTATCAACTAATGATAGGATAGCAACCACTATGGTTGAAGCAGATGATGATGGAGCAAGGCTTGATTCTTGGATGATAGATCTTGGAAAGATCACATCTAGAACAGGTGCCCAGACACATGAGAAGTGAATTGTAATTATTTTAAATATTTACATAACCTACAATTTGATGTAACTCATGTTTCTATTATTATAATCATTTTGTACTTTGAATTTTCTTTTCAGTTGTATACACCTGGAAAAAAGTTAAGCACCCCCGTGTTTTTTTCAAGTGATTCAGATTCGACGTTCTTGTGACTGATTATAAATT